TCACAAGATGGCATGACAATTTCCACACAGACTCAATATCCACCAGATATTTGAAAAAACAAATGACAAAAACCTATTCGATCATTCTGTTATCCAAGGGATAAAATTGAGTGTGCGTATTTTAAATGTTCAGACCTAGACTTGAGCTTTAGAAAATGCCATGTAAATAAATGCCTTCTGACCTGAAACTATCTGTTTCTAAGGTGCATTTGATTGTGGTGGTGGAGACGTTATCCATGACGTTCCCATAAAAAGTTCCGTCAGTGGGGCATCTGGGTGGCTCAGTGGTTGAGCATCTGCCTTTGGCTTAGGGTGTGATCCCAGGGTCCTGGGATCGAGTCCCACCATTGGGCTCCCTGTGTAGAGCCTGCTTCTCCCTCTGCCTGTGTCTCTGCCTGTCTCTCTGTGAGTCTCTCATGAGTAAATAAATAAAATCTTTAACAAAAAAAAGTTCTATCAAACATTTATTTATGCTTCAGTTTATTCCAAAAAGGATTTATTGCTGCTCACAAAGTTATAATACAAAGTAATAAAATAACTGAAAATACAGGAGAACGAGATTAGGAACAGAAGATAAGTTCTATGGAACCCGAAGTAAAATTAGCACCCAGAGTGTAGGCCATGCCCTACACACACACAGGAGAACTGACTCCAAAACGGGACCTGTCAGCTTGCCTGCAGTCAACTCAGTGATGTGAATAAAAACAGTAGAAGAGCCACAGGGCTCCAAAGATTAAAAAATAACAATAAAATATAAAAAGCACTTGCTTAAGAAATGCAAAAAAAAAGTATTCCTGTTACTAAAATTTTAGGTATTTTCCATAAGCCACCTTAGGAGGAATATCGGGTAATGAGCATGAGGAAGAATGTTTTTACACTCAACCTAGTGAGAATTTGCACCTGCACCATGTGTGAAAGCAGTTCTTTCCAAGACCTGCGTGTATATCAAGAGCGTTGGCTCCAAACCACTGCCCAACATTCCCTTCAGGAGACAAGAAATATGCTTTTCGTTCTTATTTCAAAAGTGAAAAGGGGCACCTGGGTGGATCAGTGGGTTAAGCGTCTGCCTTCAGCTCAGGTCTTGACCTCAGGGTTCTGAGATTGAGCCCCACGTCAAGCTCCCTGCTCAGCGAGGAGCCTGCTTCTCCTTCTCCCTTGCTCTTCCCTCCTCCTCAAGCTCTCTCTTGCTCTCCCTTTCAAATTAATAAATAAAGCCTTTCAAAAAATGAAAAATATAACCGAAAAGTTGTATCAGCAGGGATATTGTATTCTTAACACTTCCTATTGTATGATTTCCATTGTAGAGCAGTTATGAGGAATTTAAAAGAAAAAGAAAAAACTTATGCATCTGAGAATCCCAGGTTAGCTTTGTACTTCATGTGGAAAGGGAGATGTAGATGGCAGAGGAAATGTAACACGAAAGGAGGAGTTAGATAGTTGCATTTATTTATTATTTTAATTTAAATTTTGATTGAATCAGAATGATCCTACAAATATGTTAAAGCCTTGCCTTTTTAAAAGTAAGTTTAAATTTGATATTATAATTTTTACTTTCTATAACACAACTCAAACTCTCTTTTTATTATTATTTTTTAATTTGAGTTAATACACGATGTGTAATAACTGTACAGCTCAGTTACTTGGTAAATTTATAGGTTATGCTATGTCAAAACTATTTTTTTCTCTCTTTTTTAGATTTTATTTATTTATATGACAGAGAGAGAGAGAGAGAGTGCACAGGTGCACAGGTAGGCAAAGTGCCAGGCAGGCATGGGGAAGGGAGAAGCACATTCCCCGTGGGGCAGGAAGGGAGTCTGACTGGGGCAGGGAGCCCAAATCTGGCCAATCCCAGGACCCCAGGGTCATGATCTGTCTGAGCCAAAGGCACTGAGCCACCCCGGCGTTCCCTATGTCAAAGCCCTTTAAATAAGAGTAACAAATGAAATGTTTACGTATTTCATTTGCTAAACACATTAAGATCAGAGGGCAATTCTTGTTCAGTAATACAGAAAAAAACTAAGAAATGTCATTTTCTTTTCATACTGTCAATTTCTACATATCTCACTTTTCAAAAGCAAGTTACATTTCTCTGTAAATCATCCTTTTTTTCAGGCACACACACACGCACACACACACACACACTACACTGAAATTAGTTTTATTTAATATTATTCATCTTAGTTGCTAATGGAGGCATACCAAAATTACTCCTCATCTTTATCTCCCAGTTGGTTTACCAAATGCTTGAGAATTCTAGGCTGGTCTGGACAACTGGTTAAGTACAGCTGCAGAGGCTGCATTGACTAACTGAATAGTTAATGATTTTACAGAATCATTTCTTTATTTGTTGTTATTTTTCTTGTTGAGATGGTGGTATGGGGGCTGTGATTTTTAAGAGCCTTTATCTTTTAGAAATAACGATGAAATAAAATGATATAAGAGATTTGCCACAAAATAATAAATGTGGGGAAAGGCATGAGTTATTAAAAAAAGAGAGAGGCGGAGAGAGAGAATAGGCTGTGTGTTGATAAACGTGGAGCTGAGTAATGAGTGGCCTGGGGAATTCTCTCTACTTTTGTAAGTTTGAAATTTTCCCTAATAAAAGGCAGAAGCACCAGCAGTGGCAGCTCTGAAGTTTTCCATGAGGTGTTTAGAACCCCTTAAAAAGTAAACATGGGGAGTCCTGGGGACCTAACTAGGTCCACCATCTTTGTTCACCAGCCACAAAGCCAAAGCAGAGATTGTTGCTGCTTGTGTGCTCCTTTGGTGTTGGCCAAAGCATCTGCTTTAAAAACACAGTGCCCACGATTCCTTTTTACTATGGCTATCAACACAGACCCCGGAATCATGCACCTTGGCTCTTGATGCAAGCCCTCCTCTCTAATTCTGTCTCAGAGGCTTCAGCTCAGACTGCTGAAGGAAAAAAATGACTCTGACACCTGGTAAAGACAGGAAGGAACTTTATGCAAGAAACTACTACACTGAGGGTTTGCAGGAAGGGAGAGAGATGGGGCTCGACTCCAAATATCACCGTGACACAGAGGTTATCACTGTCTTTCAAGACCATCTTGACAGTAGAAAATAGTATTTCTTATTTGGGGTGTGTGTGTGTGTATTCATATGGCTCTTAAGAGAAAAAAAATTTTAAGGAAGCCTATAAAAACTCTCGTACTGGAGTGACAAGAGCAGCAATGGGAGATTCCAGAAGGAACCATAAATCTAAAAAAAAAAAAAAAAAGGAACCATAAATTTAGCAGGACAAAAACTGGGAGGTTCAGCTACTCTCCCTCATATCGAGAGTTTCCTTCACTGTCAGCTGTGGTAATTTGGATTTGTTGATGACAATGGGTGACATGGGGAGCCATACCGACATGGTGCAGGACATGGCGGGCCTTTAAGGATTTTCCGTGATGCTAGGATGTTGGAACCTCATGAAGCTACACTCTGGGCGCCTTGCTCCCACTGTCCCTTCTAAGGCTTTGTGCCTAATTGTGTACTCATGATTTTATTTTTCTTTTTTCAAAGAGGGCCCCACAGTACTCAGATCCACCCTTGTATGGAATTGTGAAGCTTCAAGAAAAGAACCAGCCCCCTTTTTTTTTTTCTCCAAAAAATTGCTGCTGATTCTTAGGGAGCATGGCAGCCATGGTGAACATCAGTGTTGGAAGCCCCAGACCCTTTGGTGCAGATCAGAGATGGGAATGGGTATTTCCTGAGGCTGCTGTCAGGCAGATGATTGATGTGGGAAGGGATAGAAATACTCTAATGAACAGGTTTCTGAAAATTTACATAACTTCTTTTATATTTAGCAACTGATGTGTTGTCATTTGCTTCCATAGCACTGTTAATTTAATTTGGGTAATTTTGGAAATACGAATTCATAAAGGCAGCTCTTACTTTGAGAGAAGGCAAGGGCTTGGTTTGGAGGGTGCTGCCTGCCATAATGGATGAAATTGAGCTCTGCACCGGCATGGGTTTGAGGGAACCAAAAATCACTGTTCACATGTCACTTGTAGTTTTAAAAAATGTCAAAAAAAAAAAAAGCGAATTAGTATTCCCCAAAGAGAGAAATTTTAAAGGTTACCTTTTTTAAAAAAGATTTTATTTATTTATTCATGGATGACAGAGAGAGAGAGAGAGAGAGAGAGAGAGAGAGAAAGAGAGAGGCAGAGACACAAGCAGACTCCATGCAGGGAGCCCAGCATGGGACTTCATCCTGGGCCTCCAGGATCACACTCCAGGCCGAAGGCGGCACTAAACTGCTGAGCCACCGGGGCTGCCCTAAAAATTTCTTTCTGATGTACCTAATGCTTCTGGGCCAAACTGAACCCATCTGCTCAATCATGGCTATTCATAATCATGGCTCACAGAAACTTTAAAAGACAATAGCTAAAACAGAATTTACCATTGTAATCTGCATGATTTTCATTGCTGAAGGGGCAGTACCACTAGGCAGGTGATTGCATACTAAGAGCTTTAAAATTATTGTTAAGGGCGCCTGGATGGCTCAGCAGTTTAGCGCCTGCCTTTAACCCAGAGCGTGATCCTGGAGTCCCAGGATCAAGTCCCACATCAGGCTCCCTGCATGGAGCCTGTTTCTCCCTCTGTCTGTGTCTCTGTCTCTGTCTCTGTCTCTCTCTCTCTCTCTGTCTCTCATGAATAAATAAAATCTAAAAAAATAAAATTATTGTTAAAATAGCAGTTGTATATATAGTTGATAAATGCCACAAAATTATCTTTGACTTGTAATTTTCATTTGGGAGAACTTTCTGGAATGACAAGAGTGTTTGACAAATTGAATTCAGCGATGATAACACAGGTGCATCCATTTTTCATTCTGCTGATCTCAAGTCCTGTGCGTTTTACTGTGAAGTCGACTCCTACAGGGAAAACAACTCATGTGCTACCTGCAAATGTTTTTTGGCAATTTCTTTATACTTTTAACTTTTTAAAAGATTATAACATGTGCTTTCTTATTTCTAACTCTTTTCAAATTTTAGGAGTTCTTCGACCATGTGAAGAAGCTCTGGGATGATGAAGGCGTGAAGGCGTGCTTTGAGAGATCCAACGAGTACCAGCTGATTGACTGCGCACAATAGTAAGTCAGCTTCTAAGCGAGGCCTGACCTCTCTGAAGCTACCCTTGCACCCACAGTTATGCTGCCTTCCCAGGGTCACTGAAGTCACTTGAATGCAAGGAACAAAGCTTTGACATCTTACTACAGAAACCAACTTTTAAAATATCACGTGTTTCATAGGCAAAAAACTAAAAATCCAATAGGATTCAGTGTTTTGAAGAACCAGAAGCGGGTGTATTCATTTTAGCATGATCATTGTTTCCTGTTCCATTTTTTTTTTTTTGCTTTCCATAAAATTACAGGCATATCCATAAATTAGAATGTTTTTAGATATTCATTATTATATTTTGACTTTGGAGCAAGGCCCCCATATTAAATTTTAAATATTATCAACATCAGCAATTGAACCCAATCTCTTACTTAAAGTAATAAGTTATCATCCTATAATGTTAGAAGTAGACCAGAACCTTAAAAGTAGATAGTAATTAATATAATAAGTAAAGCTTTGATGAAAAAAATGTAATGAAGAGAAATATGAAATAAGGAAAGGACTCTGGTGCTTTGGCTGGCTCATGATTTTTCCCTGAAATGCTCATTTTCCTATTTTCTTTTGCTGTTTTCAATTCATTCTATAACTCTCAGATAAGGTGGGCCCAAGAAAAACGTTAATCAAGAACTTCTAGATATGCTTGCTATTTTGATGATAAAAACTATATTTAAGGTTTTTTTATAGATCTCTTGAGGCAGCAAGAAGTGAGTACGTTTTAAGTCTATAAACTGTAAAAATTCATCCCTGCAGAAGAGATTCCATAAGCATTCCCATGTCTGGGAATTCCCAATATTTGGAACCCGCTGGTGGAGCTACACTGAGAATACTGATTTCAAGGAGAGGGTAGCATGGCCACCCAGCCCTTTCTCATCCAGAGGAGTTCAGGCACCTATGTCTTGTGACAGCCCCTGAGAGAAACCAAGGGCAAGGGCCTGAGGAGGGCGTGCTGGATGTGTCCCCAGCAGTGACAGGAAGCCAGCTGGGTAATGGAAGAGTGGCCATAAACAGAAGAGAGAAGTCAATGGGGCCAGGCCCTCCTGAGCACCAAAGGTCCTGCCAGGGATCTTATATTTTCTTCCAAATGCAGTGAATGACTGTCAGCTCAATGAGTAAAATTGTCAGGGTCATCTGGCTGCCATGTGGAGAATTAAAAGAAGGGAACCAGGGCCCTAGTGGGATGGCCCAGGTCAGATGGCAGCCATGGAGGTGAGCCTGGGACCCAAAGGGGCACAATTAGGCAGTGAATTGGAATACCAGAGGTGGAAGAAAGTGGGGATCAAGTAGGACAACAGAGAAGGTCACAGTGCCATTCATTGAGAGGGAGGACCCTGGGAGATATTGTGTAGGGGAGGACAGGGGACAATATCAAGCTCCGATTTGGAGAAGTTAAGTTTGAAACACCTACAGGGATACCCAAGGGGAGAGATGAAGCAGACGGCTGGTTGTAGGAGTTCAGAATTGAGACTGGCAGGATATACAGAGGAGAGGGTCCTGGAAAAGGAAGTTCAACCCTCAGAGGTTGGTTTCAGGAGGGGGAGAAACCTAAAACTGCATCTGAGAAGTAGGTGGAGACGGGGTCCTTCAGAACAGGGGAGAGGATCTCAGGGTTGAGATGAGGGAGGATTGATGATATTAAGAAGATTCACTTAACCTCCTTAGGATGATGAGCAAAAACTGGCTCATCCTCCCCCCGGTCCATGAGCATTTGGTCCACAAGCGTCTGGTCTGCAGCAGGTATGTCTAGCAAGCGGTTTTGGTGTGACCAGGCTAGTGTAACAGAGACAGCACCCACCTGCTGCATACACCCTGAAATGAGCACCAAAAGCATTAATGGCCCTCCACCGTATATGCGAAAGAAACTATTTACTACTTAAAAATTTTCATAAACTAGAAAAGTATTTAAAATTTCTCATTTCCTGCCATGCTTAACCATTCCTTCAAGGCTTACCTGATATCAATATTCCCTTTTTAAATTAGCATGCCCTGTAATTTACATTTGTGAATCTATTACGGTCATTACCCTCGTGTCTCGTGTCGTTTGGTACGCATACTTGCTTCCACAAGAGCCAGGCAGGTTTAGATTTGGATGTGGAGTGGGGCGAGCTTCCCAGGGGAGCTCAGATGCACCTTGGGAAGGTCTCAGGAGGCACACCACTTCCCAAAGGGCCTTCATCTTTCTTTCTGGCTCTCACTAGCTCTTTCTCGAACATATCATCTCAGTTATTTCAATGTCCCAGTGGTGCTGTAGAGATTGAAAGAATATCCTAAGTTAAATGCTAGCAATGGAAATTTCAAGCACAGCTCATAATAATATTAAATTCACTTACATTGGGACGCCTGGGTGGCTCAGTGGTTAAGTGTCTGCCTTCGGCTCAGGACATGACCCCAGGGTCCTGGGATTATTGAGTCTCACATCATGTTCCCCCGCAGAGAGCCTGCTTCTCCCTTTGCCTATGTCTCTGCCCCTCTCTCTGTGTCTTTCATGAATAAATAAATTTAAAAAAATTTTTAAAAATAAAGATGTCAATGTAAGTGAATTTATTATTTTTAATTTTAAAATATTTTATTTATTTATTCATGAGAGACACAGGCAGAGGGAGAAGCAGGCTCCCTACAGGGAGCCCGATGCAGGACTCCATCCCCAGACTCCAGGATCAGGCCCTGGGCTGAGGGCAGATGCTAAACCTCTGAGCCACCCAGGGATCCCTACATTGACATCTTTAAATGTTGATGTGAATACGTGCTTTATTGTCCTTTCCCAGTATTTCTTGAGCAGGGACGTCATGAGGGAGCGTCACAGTGCTACTCAGTGTCGAATTAGGAATTTCTCCTTCTTAAGAAGAATCTAGCACCACTCTTAATTTAACATAGAATATGCAAATATAAATGTTTGAAAAAGAAGTGGTATGAGCCTTGGCAACAGGCAGTTAGGATTCAGATCTCGGCTCTGCCACCAACAGTCATGGGAGAGTCTGGGCAAACTCATGAGGTCAGTTATGGGTCCCATTCTCATACGGTTCTCAGAGGATTAAATAAGCATATCTCCAAAGTCCTCAGAGTAGTGCCTGTGACCCCTAGATGAACTCATGCTGTTATGTCGCCAGTGTGGAAGCTGAGGTCCAGAGAGGTAAACTAAGGCACGTAAGATCATAGTTTCCCACAAAAATAGACGGCACAGAGCCGTCTGGCATTCCTTTGTTTCCATCCTCTCAGGTTACTGACAGCCATGGGTACAAGCTACCTCATGTGTGAGGTCAAGACTCCCTCCCAGACTTGGAAGGAATGAGACACCAGAGCTTCAGTTATACTTTCTTAACTCTGGGCCCAGCAGAATCACAGAAAGCAGTTCCCCGCCTAGACCTCACTGTCTAGGTCAATCCTAGCTTCTACAGCATTGCTTTCTTTATCCATTTTAATACATGTGGGAATCGAGTTGGATCAATAATCTTAGTCTCTTAATAACTGTTGTTTTTCCTCTAAACTCAGATTTTGAGATGGAGTCGAGGGATCTAAAAAACAAAGGCTATTTCAGTAACAGTTGTTAGACTAACACAGGGCTACCAAGGTGTATGTTGCCAAATTAGATGTTAAAGAAATAGAAGCTGCCTCCATCAGCCATCACCATCCCTCCAATAAAAGAAAGGAGGTTTCAGCATCAAACCAATGAAGGAACATGATCTCAGAGGAAAGCCCTAAGACCATGATACTCAGGCCATCTTGTCCAACACACTCGATTTTTAATTCCTCAGGAAATATGTCTTATTCCTTCTTAAATGTTCAGGTGAATGTTCTTTCATGAAGTCAGTGCTCCGTAGGTGCTATTTGAAATAAATGCTAATTCTAGCAAAACAGGAGCCTGGTATTCACTATGGTACTGATAAAAGTCCCTTTAAAAGTGCACACCCTACCCCAGATTCAGGCTCTGTGGCCTCCTCCTTCCCCCTTGTAGGTCCCCAGTGCTCTGACACATTTCATTTTCTTTTTTCCTCCCATCAAAATTGCCCTGAGAAAAGACCTGATTTACATCTTGGTGTGAATTTAAGTCACTATGTTACCTTGCTCCATGGTTTTGCATTTTGAACCTTAATGCTTATTATGAAGGGAATAATTCTAAGCTCCATTAAAGTAATTTCTTCCATGGCAGAAATCAGGGGAATATTTTGGGGAAGAGGTGCTTCTCAGTGATGCTGAAATTCTGTTAAAGCAGAACTGCTGATGAAGAGCCTGGGAACATCTGGCAGTTCCTTAAAAGCTTACAGAGGTACCTGGGAGTTCCACTCCTGGATATTTACTCAAGAGAATTAAAAACATACATCCACACAAAATCTCGTACATGAATGTTCATGGCAGCATTATTTACAAGAGCCAAAGAGTGCAAACAACCCAAATGTCCATCAAATGATGAGTGGATACACAAAACAGGATCCAACACAAATGGAATATTATTTGGTATAAAAAGGAATGAAGCTCTGATTCATGCTACCACATAAATGTACCTTAAAAACATTATAATAAGTGAAAGAAGCCAGACACAAAAGGCCACCTATCATATGATCCAGTTTTTATGAAACGTCCAGGATCAGCAAATCCACAGAAATGGAAAATAGATTACTAATTGCCAGGGGCCTGGGGGTCAGGGGAAATGGAGAGTGACTGCTAATGGGTGTAGGATTTTTTAGGGGATAATGGGAATATTCTGGAACAGGATAGTACAGACTATACCAAAAATCACAGGGTTGGTGAATTTTATGTTTTGTGAAATATGTTATGTGAATTATATCTCAATCTAAAAAAAAAAAAAAAGATTATGGAGGAGGGAGGGATTCAGGGCAGGAAAAACAATGGGAACACTCGTCAAGATCGGCCAGGGGGGCAGTCTCCTCACTGAGCCGGGGGTCCTCTTGTCAACCACAGGTGAAAGTCTATACATGCATTTACAAGGCCTGCTTTTGCTTTTCATAAGGCCTCCATC